AAAAGAGTTGAGGGTGTATTCCACACTAAAATACAAGGTTGGGGGCATGAATAAAATTATCCTGAAAATATAGGTCCAGTCCAAAGTCTTTCTTTGGGTCATCTCAAAATATTTCAAACTCGGCCCATAAAGACATCTAAGAAAGAAATCATATATCTTTGCGACCCAAGCGAACAAACCCATGTTTTTCTCTTATCCATTCCTAGTGAAGAAGACGTGAATTCTCTCGCAACACCAGCCATGGGTTCCCTGGAAACGCCGACGATTGCAGAGCAGAACGGCTCTGCTACCCCAGCCGCCAGGGCTACGGTTGACACGGACCAAAATCCTGTCTTCGCTGGCGCCGGAGTTCCTGCAGAAATGGAACTGGAACCTGAGGCGTTGAAGAAGAGGAGGAATAGTGTGCTCCCTCTGGACGTCGGTACTCGCGTAATGTGCCGGTGGAGAGACGGCAAGTATCACCCTGTTAAGGTCATTGAACGGCGTAAAATGCAGTACGGTGGGAACAACGACTACGAGTACTACGTCCATTACACTGAATGTAAGATTTCGTGTCTCTCTAGGGTTCGCTTTTTCCTTACCTTCATTTTTGTTATTCAAGTGCGTTTTAAGTGTTCTATATGTGAAATGTTAAGAAAGGCCGTACCTTTCAGAAGATTGAAGTTAGTTAGGCAGAATACCAAATACAGTAGGAAATCTAGAAAGAGCTGTGTCAAGACACCAATTAGCTGCAATTAATAAAAAATTCATAATAGATTGAAGTAATATGCGGAAAGTTGCTAACAGAGTATTTTGGTCTTGGCCATTAAGTTTTCGTAGTGTTACTGTTGAGTATTTGCTTCCTGGAGGTTGAGATGAAAGTTAATGGTCTAGTTTAATGGAATAACAAAAGAGTTTGAGACTAAAATCATAGGGATGAGAATTAGCCAAGAATGGTGGAAGTGGTGAGTTGAAACTCGATTTTGACTTGATTCTTTGGCCTCCTCTTTTGATTAGTTATGTATTGTATATTTCTCTGTTTAATTTCCTCACTAGGCCATTTACAAATTATTTTAATGAGTGGCTTTGCATATGGCCAATACAGATTGTTTGCTTTCAGAATTGTTACTAAAGTTGAGAATTTTTTGGTATGACTAAACTTCTTGTGTGGTGTGGTGGTGATTCTGTAACTTTATATATATATACAGTTTTTGTATGTATAAGTCTCTTGCTTTTCTCTGACAGTCAATAGGAGGCTTGATGAATGGGTAAAGCTTGAACAACTTGATCTTGATTCAGTTGAAGCTGTTGTTGATGAAAAGGTGGAAGACAAGGTAGACTCTTTCCTTCCAACATAAGATCCCTTTTCACCATGTTTCCTTCCTTTTCTCGCTCTTTTCCTCCTTTTCTGTACTGATTGGAAAAATCATTGGATGATTACAGGTAACGAGCTTAAAAATGACGCGCCACCAGAAACGGAAGATTGATGAGACGCATGTGGAGGTATGTGAATAAAACTGCAACTGGCTGAGGGTTATGGCAATTGAAGGATGGTGTTGCTTTTCTAAAGCCTAAAACTTTGTGCTAAAGTAATCTGAAAGCAACTAGAATTGATAAGCTAGCATCAGAAGCATAATATTTCCTATTTACAATAAGATACTGAGTCAACTGAAAAATTATTGGGAAGTTTTTCTCCTATACAATCAGATTTGATGGACACCAGACCAGAGAGACCATTGAATTTTACACTTTACACCTAGAAGCATGCACACCAAACTTTACACTTTTGTTTGCATGATAGTTGTTAACTTGTAATAGATTGCTTTAGAAGCTTTTATTTTTTTATAATTACTTGTGCTAGAACTAACACAATGTAAACAGAAGATAAAGTTAGTTTGTTACAATTAAATATTTTGTGATATAGAAATATATGATGCATTTTTTACTTTCTTGAATTATATGGTTTAAACATGCTCCTTTTAATCATATAGGGACATGAGGAGCTTGATGCTGCTAGCTTGCGTGAACATGAGGAATTCACTAAAGTGAAAAATATAGCAACTATAGAGCTTGGAAGATATGAAATTGAGACATGGTACTTCTCTCCCTTTCCACCAGAGTACAATGACTCATTGAAGCTGTACTTTTGTGAGTTTTGCCTCAATTTCATGAAGCGCAAAGAGCAGCTTCAAAGACATATGGTGAGATGTAAATTTCTCTTCGCTTTTAACGGATTAAAATTGTTGTAAAGCTATTTTCTAGATTCTTATAGAAGTGCTTGACTGCCTGTGATCAATTGAGTTGAATTTGCTCTGCACTAAGTTTCACATTAGTAAATACAGCTAATTCACTCTTCTGTTGCTATATGATCTATATTATTTATGTTAATAAATTTTCCTTGGTCAAAAACATAAAAATATGAATTCCTTGGTAATGTGGTTGAAAATGACTTTGGTGTCATAATGGGGTGACAATGAAATGCTTGTTCTGTGGCATGCTGGATTGTTCCCCTATTAATGTTTGGATTTGCTTCCTTTTTTTCATAGTTTTATTTTATCTCTTTGTATTTGACGGTCTTAAGGCACAAATTATTATTGTTATTCTTACTTATAATCTTCCACTCTGTAGAAAAAGTGTGATCTGAAGCATCCCCCTGGAGATGAGATATACCGCAGTGGTACACTGTCAATGTTTGAGGTATGTTGGGGTGGAGGTCTCACTTTTGCAACTTTTCTCTGTTAGAACATTGAAATATGTTATTTTCTTGGCTAATAGAATCTAAAATTGTTATGGTTCCCTTTCTCTTTTATATTAAATTATTAATTATCTTTCTTATCTGTTAGCGTATCTCTGTACAGAAAATCTTCTTAAATATGCTTTGAAAGCATTACCATATGGTTTCGCTCCTCAAAATTGCCTAGTTTGTTTTGTTTTGCAGTTTTAATATTTCGAATTTTATTTTCATTCTCGCTACTCCTTCATTCATTCTCTCATTCAGTATTGTGACATTACCTGCCAATTGCCATCATATTGTAGTATTTGGCTTGCCCCTATTCTTTGCTTGATATTTATGTTCCTTTGGGTTAAATGTTTTGGAACAGATTGATGGAAAAAAGAACAAGGTTTACGGGCAGAACCTTTGTTATTTGGCAAAGTTGTTCCTTGACCACAAGACCCTGTATTATGATGTTGACCTGTTTCTGTTTTATGTTTTGTGTGAATGTGATGATCGCGGTTGCCACATGGTTGGGTATTTTTCCAAGGTAATTTCTGTTCCAATATTATTGTTAGAGTTTGATGTGATGTGATAGGAGACAAAAATTACCTATATAACATCCAGTGTCAAGTATTGTAATCAAAGTGAAAGATTTAGCCTAAGATGGTGATGGAAGAGAGATGCACATGGCATATTAATGCAGTATTAACTAGGCTGTTAGATTTATCATTGAATATCATAGGACAATTCCTGATGAATTGCTGAAGTCTAATCCATATCATGTCAGTTTTAATGATCATTTTTTGTTGAAGATCATCACCTTGCCTAGTGTTTAATACTCTCTGTTGATGCAGGAAAAACATTCTGAGGAATCCTATAATTTGGCATGCATCCTCACTCTTCCTCCTTATCAGAGGAAAGGCTATGGAAAATTTTTAATTGCCTTCTGTAAGCTGTCTTTTCTTTGTCATTTGTACTCTGTTTTGCCTCATTCTGAATTTCTGATTATGATAGATGGAGATGGTGGTCACCTCTACATCTCTAGGTTTGGTTTGTTGAGTTTGTGTTCATAAGCTTTTGGTTTACCAGCGTCAGCAGAAGATGAACCTCCCTGGCTTTGAGGAATATATAAGAACACTCGTTTTCTCTTATTAAATTAGCCTCACAAATCACAATCCAGTCACTAATTTGGTTCTGAGTCCTCTGTAAGTTAACCTAGATCTTGTCAAGCATGGTTGTGCTTAGAATTTAAAATATTTATGAATTGCAGATAAATTACTGTGGGTGCCTTAATATAAAATCCTGACCTTTGTATGATTTTATTTCCTTTGGTAGCCTGGCTTCATTAATAGCCAAAACCTACCTCAATAGAAAAGATTCTGTCTTTATCTGGCTAACCAAGTATTAACCTTGTGATTTTTTATCTGGTTGGATATTATTGCTAATGGAGCAGCATATGAACTGTCCAAGAAAGAAGGTAAAGTTGGAACACCAGAAAGACCCCTTTCCGACCTTGGGCTATTAAGCTACAGAGGATATTGGACCAGGGTTCTTTTAGACATCTTGAAAAAGCATAAGGCAAATATCTCTATCAAGGTATGCACTCTTCAGATCTGTTACTCAAATTCTACTAACTTGGCAGTAGTAACAAAATCTATTAGCTTTCTGTTATTCTGATGCCTTCAAACAAAGAAAGAAAAAGAAAATATTACATCTTTTAAACTGTTTGGATATTTGAAACTCTTATGGATATTGTTGCATCCCCATTTTTATAATTTCTTCCAGCATTTTGGTGTATGCTGCTCTATTTGATTATATAACTCTTCTTTATAACTTTACTATCTCCAGGAGCTTAGTGACATGACAGCCATTAAAGCGGAGGATATTCTAACTACTTTGCAAAGCCTGGAATTGATTCAATACAGAAAAGGGCAACATGTCATCTGTGCAGATCCTAAGGTCTTGGATCGGCATCTAAAAGCTGCTGGCCGTGGTGGTCTAGAGGTTGATGTCAGCAAATTGATTTGGACTCCCTACAAAGAACAAGGCTGATGCATCCTGTCAAGGTACCATAATTTTAGTTTGTAATTGTAACTTATTGTCATTCTATAAAAGTCACTAGGATATTTGTATACATAGAGTGGTTGTAATGGTACACTGAAATTTACTTGTAGATACATCGTTGAAGCTGTTTCACAAATAGAGAACATACTAAACTTGAAACTGATACCTTCCACAAGAAATGTGCAAAACTCAAAAACATCGACTTACAATAAAACTGACTTTCGACCAGATATTATCTAGAAAATTATAGTACTTGATCCTCCATCCTCTGTTGATCATTAGAGGAATCAAAACACCCCAAAATCCCACTATAAGCCCGAGCAAAATGCTGATGAACCAATCCAATATATCTGCATATCCTTTCTCTTCATAACCGTTTCCACTGCTAGGCACCACATCATTCGTACTGCAGTTGTTCGGTAGTGGAAGGCCACATAGTTGGTTGCCAGCGTAGCTTGATGCATCGAAGCTCTGCAACTGAGTGCTTGAAGGAATACTCCCGATCAGATGATTGTCGGACAAGTTCAAGTGATTCAAAAAGGTCAAACTTGACATGCTTGGAGGGATTGAACTGGACAATTTGTTAACAGAGAGGTCAAGGGATTCTAGTGATTTCATATCACCAATATTTTCAGGAATCCTTCCAGTCAAATAATTGTGTGAGAGATTCAATGATTGTAACCCTTGAAGGCTACTCATTTCTTCGGGGATCTCTCCTGACAAGTTGTTTCCAGACAAATCTATGCTTCTTACCAAGTTAAGAATTGTGCTGTATTCAAGAAACTGGCCCTTCATGACAACTAATGCATTCTCAACAATATTTGCTCCCTGGTATTTAGGAAGAAAATAGTATCTTCGCAAACCAGATGGCATTGACACCCAGTAAGGAGCAGCTGAATTATACTGAATGTTGGTGTTGAGATCTCCATCTTTCAAAAAGGCCATGGAACTAAAGTTACTGATGCAACTTGGTAAGCTTCCAGAAATATTGTTGTGAGAAAGGTCTAAGACCTGAAGAGAAGTAAGAGCACATATCTCATTCGGTATGGGTCCCTGTAACTTGTTTGAACCAAGACTCAGAATTCTCACATTTGGAAGGTTATGCCCTAACCATGCCGGTATGTTCCCATCTAATTCATTATCTTCAAAATCAAGTGTGCATATCCTTCTGCAATTTCTTAGTGACGGAGTTATTTCTCCAGAAAGGCTGTTTTTTTGAAGATGCAGGGACCGGAGGTCGTATAAGGTTCCCATGGAGCTTGGGATTCTACCAGTCAATCTATTACTAGCTAATATTATGACCTGCAAATGTTGCCACTTCATCCAGCAATCTGGTATATCTCCAGATAAACTGTTTTCTCCAAGATTCAGAAACTCCAAATCCACCATGGTCTCATTCATCTCATAACATAAAGGCTGGGAAAGGGAACCTGAAATTTGATTATTGGAAAGGTCTAGTAGAGTCACCCAAAAGGGGATGTGAGGTAATGGGCCACTGAAGTAATTTGAACCGAAATCGACTAGTGCATACGGGAGGAAAAGAAGTTGTTTTGGAAGTTCCCCATGGATTTGGTTGTGAGAGAGATTTAAATGTTGAAATTGGGATGTCAAGTTCCAAAAGCAACTTGGAATGCTACTCAAAACTCCTGTGTTGGAGAAATCCAAAAATTTCAAGTACTTCTGAGAACAAAACCAATGGGGAAATCCCGGACCCAAAACCCAAGATTGTAATCCTAAGTTTTGAACTTGGAAAGGAGGATTCCAATTAGAATTCACTTTCAAAATCAAGGGGTTCCCATTCCCAACAAAAATTATCAAATTTGAAAGATTGTAAAAGTGGATTTCAGAAACAACACCCTCTAAAAAATTTTTAGAAATATCCAGAATTTCCAAATTTACAAGCTGCCCTAATGACTCGGGAAGATTTCCTTTCAATTTGTTCTGAGAGAGATCTAAGATCTTCAGGGATGAAAGTTCTCCCATAAATGGTGGAATTGGACCAGAAATTGAGTTACCCCCCAAGGACAATCTTGTCAACTTATTGAAACGAGCAAGTTGATTGGTAAGTTGTCCAAAAAGGCCACAGCTATTTAAATCCAATGACTCTAAAGTATTAGAAACACACCTGGAAAAGATTTCTAAGACAATGGATATCTCTTGGTTCAATCCAACATCAGAGACAGCAATTGACCTCAAATTACAAAGCTTTTCTATTGATCTAGGAATTCCCCCGTTGAAATCATTCCCTGAAAGGTCAAGGCTTAATGCAAAGGTCAGGTTTCCAATGGCACTAGAAATCTGACCTTGCAACTGATTACAACGGAGGTCAAGGAACTCTAGAGGGCTAAAGCTGTATAACCAATCGGGTACTGAAGAATTGAAATCATTGGAACCTAAATCAAGGTACTTCAAAGAAGACATGTTGTGAAGACCCTCGGGAATCAGTCCTTGGATACCATTGTAAGATAGATCAAGGAAAACTAGGTTCTTAAGACCAAAAACCCAATTAATGATTGTTGAATTTTCTATGTCATTCATAGAAAGATCAAGGATGGCAAGAGACGTTAAATTAGCATGACTGAGTGGATGAATTTGATTGAACTGACCATATGACAAGCGTAATTCTACCAAAGAAGGAAGGTTGTTTACATACTGCAACCCGTTGGAGGCTTTTTTTAGGCTCACAGACTTTAAATCAAGGTGTTCTAACAGAGAAAGATCTGATAGCCACTCAAGACTCTCAACATATAACCTTCTACCAGGATAACCATAATCATGATGAAGGTCTAGATATTGCAAATTTGAGAGGTTCCCAAGTTGAGGAGGAACCTCTCCTCCAAAAAGTGCATTGCTGAGGTTAATGTGTCTTAAACCTCCAAAAGAACCCAAGAACTTGGGAATTGAAATTCCTTGGAAATCATTGTTGCTGAGGTCCAAATAAGTCAAATGTTTCAAACCAAGCAAAGAAGGATTCATCTTACCGCTGAGCTTTGAACGCCTAAAATCCTCCAACTCAGTATCAGAGTGTTGCTTATTGGCCAATTCAGGACTTCTGAGATGGAGTTCAAGGACATGGCCAGTCAAGTTGTTGCAAACAATTCCAGCCCACCTACAGCAATCTCTGTCATCAGGAACCCATGAGGCGAGTCGGTCCCCACGATCAATAAGACCTTGCTTGAACTGCAGAAGGGCTTGTCTTTCAGTCTCCATGCAACCTCTAATGAAGTTTGCATTGAGAAAGAGAAATCCAAGGAGAAAAAGTATAAAACGACACATCGGAATTTTGAATTGCCTTGGACTATTTGGAAGAAACTATGAAGGAAGGAAGTTGATAATGCGGAATTGAATCAAGATTGTGTACCATTTAGTGTCATGCTCAACATTAACTTCATAATATATATATATATATATATATTTGAGTTACGTGTTTTGCAATTCAAATTGTAGAATGAAAATTATTGAATGGGGAATAACTCATGATTACTTACTTTATAATTCAAATTGTAAAATAAAAATTATTAAATGGGAGATAACTAATGATTACGTGTTTTGTAATTCAAATTGTAAAATAAAAATTATTAAATGAGGGACAACCCATGATATCATAGGTCATGATTTAACTTGGAGGGCATAACACTTTTTAAACATATATATATATATATATATGGGGTAAAAGTGAAATCTCTTATATTAATTTAGGATTAGTATACATCTACTTATTTAATATCATATATTATATTGTATAATGCATCATACAATAAGATGATAAAAAAAAATTATGTAGTAAAAATGTACTCATAGCATTAATTGTCCATATAATATGATATCAATCAATCAACATTTTTTTTATCTTAAGTTATACGATAAAATACAATCTTCCTTTATTCTTTATTTATTTATCAGGCATTTACATACCATAAAACTTAAATTTAGAATCTTTTATTTCTACTCAAAAGAAGATTTTCAGTAAGCCATTAAAGTCATTATCACTAATCAACATTTAATACATCACAATACAGTAAGTTTAAATGAAATTACAAAATCAGCATAAAAGGCAAAAAGGGCAAATTGGCCCCTGTACTTAACAATCAGTGGCATATCAGCCCCACAACTCATTTAGTGGCAAACAAACCCTCAAACTCATCAACTGTTGGCAAGTCAACCCTTCTATAACTATGACATCAGCAAATCGTTAGAAACCAACTCTGTGTTTTTGTTTTTGTGGATCCCATTGTTGACTTGACTTTAAATTTCTTCGGGAAACTAAAAGGTACATATGGATTTGTCCAAAGTACAAATGTGAGTTAAAATATAAGTGTTTTTCAAATTTGCATCCTAAAATAAAAATTATTAAATAAAGGTTCAGTCTTTTGGTATTAAAATTCATGGACTACTAAATTAAGGGCAGCCTCTTGGTAATGGACTTTCCATCCATGTGTCCTTGTTTTACTGTCTAAACAATTTGACCTATAAAATAAAATAAAATTTATTTGATTACTTAATAAAGAGTATCATGTTTTATTATCTAAATTATACCAAACTATAAAACAAAGATCAATGAATGGGTTTGCAACACCCTTAATTAATAAAATAGTTCATAAATAACTTGTGAACTATTTGAGTTAAGTTTAGTTTAAGATCGACGCATCTGATAATCGAATCAAACTCAAGCTTAATATTGAGTTTGATAAAAAAAAAAAAAACAAGTTTGAGTTCGAGTTTCTTTAATTATTCATGAATATTTAGTTTAGAATTTAAAATTATATTATTATATATATTTATTAAATTTAAATATATAATAATTTATAAATTTAACAAAGTTGAAATGTTAACTTTAAAAAGTTACATATTTTAAATTATAATTACTAATAAAAATGTTTAAATAAAATTTATTTATTTTAACTAACCTTAATAGGTTTAAGTTTTTAATACTAAAATATTTTTTAAAAATGTAAATAATTTTATAATTAAATAATTAATTATTGAAATATTTTAAAATTATAGGGAAAAGATTCGATTACGAGACTCAAATTTTGGGGACAAGCCCAAACTTGTTTATATACATGAGTTTGAACACAAACTCAATTATTTTAAACTCTATAAATATTTGAGCGCGATTCAAATTTTAATTTTAAGGCAAACTCGAATATGAGCAGTTAACTACTCAAGTCAACCCGATAATAGCGGGAGAGATGATTTATGGCACATCTGGAAACTTCCAGATCTGGGTTTGCGGACAGTGCTACAGTGTCCGGTTACAATGTCATCGCTGCCCAACGACCATAGTTGGCCATCACAGGAGCTGGCTTTGCTACTATACCCTGTGTTTGGCAAAGATGGAGAGCCAGAGACAAAAGGGGTCGGTGGCGCGACGAAGCGGGGAGGTTTTTGTTAGGTTGGATTGGCGTTCGACGAGCAAAAGCCGATGGGAACCTGATACATGGTTCTAAAAGTCAGGCACAAGAAGGGGATAGGGTTTCTCAAATTAAGTCCCCCATTGTATGCTTATCGGGGAAGAAGACCATTTGAAAAAGAATTCCTATTTTTTTTGTTTTTGCCATTTTTTTTTCTGATAAAATTAATACTACATATATTCCACTTCCTTTTTTAACACGTCGCCTTAGACAATAAGTTAAAAATATTTTTTTATTATAAATATATATAAAATATAAAAATTGATATTAAATTAATATTAAATAAATTTAATTAAATAATTAATAAATTAAATATTAATTTTTAAAAATATATAAATTGTTAATTTTCACGGCTTAACGCAAGAAATTTTTTCGAAGCTTAAAAATTTTTACTACTGGTGGGGGTATGTTTTTAATATAAATTTATAATAAAAATATATTTATTATATTTTTAACGTAAGATTAAAATTTAATTTATAAAATTTATTAATAAATTAATTAATAGAAAAGGTTTGCCATCTAAGCAACCATGTCAACATTGGAGCCCACAAAATCGCCACTTTAAGTAGCGATCCTGGAGATCTAACGATTTGCTCATGTCATCAGTCAGAAAAGAGCTGATTCGCCACCAGTTAATCACTTTGAGCATTTGTTTGCCATTGCAACGACTTCAGGGGCTGATATGCGACAAATTGTTAAGTACAGGGGCTGATTTGCCCTCTTTGGCAACATAAAATTCATTAGTTTTTGCTTGTAGGGTTTGTTTGTTGAGATTTGAGCTATTAAAAGTTTAAAACTCACATTTAAAAGTTAAAATTTAGAGCTAAAAGTAACAATCTGGTAAATAAAATTTTTTTATATTGATAACCAAAATTATAATTTATTAAAAAATAATTTATTTATGTTAAAATAAATAGGCAAAAAAAAAATCTAGTTTATGAGATTCATTAAATTTAAAGGGCATATTAATAAGGTCCGTTGACATTTTTTTTCCATTTCGTGTTAGGTTTTTCGCTTAAAGTTTTTTTTGGGAGCCAATAATCTAAATAATTTAGTAATAATTTCCTTCCACTAAAAATAAAAAATTTTGAGTTCAAGTCACATGACATGTGAATGGGATAGGATAAAAGATAAAAAATAATTGCCTTCCATTATGCAACCAAATAAAAAAAAAAAAACTTCCTTCGGGGTGTTTTACACAACACTTAATATTTGCAATAGCATATCTAAAAATATGATTTTCTTATAAACTATTAGTTTTAATTAATGTTTTATTTATTTTAATAATTTTAATAGTTTATATTTTTAGTAATAAAAAAAATACTAAATAACCCTACAAACCAAGCCTAACATTTCCCTTTCAATTTTTCACTTTTCATAAACTGGGCAGTGATTAGTGGAAGAAAAATACAAACAGTCCAGGGTTTCAATATTGTCGATGCAAATCAAACTAGATGGACCATACGGATGAGTGGCAAACTTTGTCAAGTGAAAAAATTTCCTGCCTGAGGCCGCGAACCGTAAGTTAGTGAACAAATTTCCAAATTTTTGCGGGGAAGTCAAGTCTCCCTACTGAAAAATTTTCTCTACATCACCAGCAATTGGCCAATTGCCAGCCATCTTTGCCCTTTCTTTCACGAAGTCTTGGTCCTTTTTCAGTTTGTCTTGCACACAGATGAGCTGGTGTGTAGTGTGTGCGTTGGGTTCTCGATCAGTCTCTCATCAACAGTCAACACCATATCTTCTATGGCCATGAAAGAGACACAACCAGAGCTTTCGTATCATTAACGATGTAACATTTCTATGTATGTTCTAATTTAGAATATAAATGCCTTTATAAAGTAACTAAGAATATTATTTTTCAAAAAATTTTAATCAAGAATATTATTTTTTCAGTTTTACTTTGAAAGATTCAGTGGATGTGCAAGTTGATCTTACAACCTGTTTTTGTAATATTAAAATAAAATAGTAAAAGAAAAGAAAAGGAGTTTTTGATGTGTAAAAAGGGTTACTATTTTTACGATGTTAAAATGCCTTTGAAATATAACAGATTTTTAACTAAACTCTCTTGAATACAAGTGTGAAAAAATAACTCTTTTTTGTGTCTTCACCAAATGAACTCTAAAGCCTAACTTATATAGAAGTGCAGGCAACTTTTCCATTTGTTACTGGCGCCTTTTCCACCTTTTCCACTGGAACCTTTCGTATTAATCGTAGGATCATTTCTATTTAATCATTACACCTAATCATATGTTAATGATTGGATATGTCTTTTATGCCAATTGTCTTTTACTTTGTTGCAAAATTAAACTCCAAGGACAGATACTTTCTGCTTTTGATTATTTTTATAACATGTTTGAAGTACCAACTAGTTTAGTCCACACTTTTAAACTAGACATAATCAATGTTAAGCTTCTAAATTTTTTTATTTTCTCACATAAGCCCTAAATTGTTCTATTTGAGCAAATTAGTTCCTGTTCACGAACAAGCACGTGATATCACATGACTCTAAACGGACGTTTATTTTCTGTTGACGTGGCAAACAACAAAGGGTTAATTATAACTCAGTCCTTAATTAAATTTATTGAGTTTCAAATAGAATAAGTCCCTAAAAATTTTTGATATTTTATTAGATTGGCAACTATGTAAAGAGAACCGTAAAAATGGCAATCACATTTGCATTCCTCCTCTCTGTCTAAAGGAAAATGATTATCTTGAATCATATATATATATATGAAAAAATATATATTAGTTTTTACTCTTAAAAAATTAAACTTAAATTAGGTTATTTTATTTAATTAAAACTCAATTTAAAATTTAAAAATTTATCTTATTAAATATTGATATTTAGATTTAAAAATTGATTGAATTTTTAAATTTTAAATTGAGATTTTAATTTTTAAATGTAAGTTATGATTTCAAAATTTTTAAGAGTTGGGTGCACTAACCACATATATATATATATATAATATACGAGGTTAATGCGTATTAATTTTAATTTTAAAAAA